AGGTCAGCTACCTATTATATCGAAAAACTGGAACATGAAACTAAATCACCCTGGGTTGAAAATTTTTATTGCTTCCAAAATAAGAAGTTCCCTTGTATGAATCACTTCAGGACCTTACCTTAAAGTACAAAAGCAGTAATTAAAGTTGAACTTCTTAAAATCTTTATAATAAATTAGATTGATTACACTTCAGAAAAATAAAATAATTTATAATATGATTATCTGTTTTGTGTGTGTTGAGTTTGAGGAGTTCTTTATAGATCCTGGATATCAATCTTTTGTCTGTACTGTCATTTGCAAATATCTTCTCCCATTCCGTCGGTTGCCTCTTTGTTTTCTTGACTGTTTTCTTTGCTGTGCAGAAGCTTTTGATCTTAAGGAAGTCCCAAAAGTTTATTTTGGCTTTTGTTTCCTTTGCCTTTGGAGACATATCTTGAAAGAAGTTGCTGTGGCTGATATCGAAGAGATTACTGCCTATGTTCTCCTCTAGGATTCTGATGGATTCCTGTCGCACGTTGAGGTCTTTTATCCATTTTGAGTTTATCTTCATGTACGGTGTAAGAGAATGGTCGAGTTTCATTCTTCTACATACAGCTGCCCAGTTTTCCCAGCACCATTTATTGAAGAGACTGTCTTTTTTCCACTGTATATTTTTTCCTGTTTTGTCGAAGATTAACTGACCATAGAGTTGAGGGTCCATATCTGGGCTCTCTACTCTGTTCCACTGGTCTATGTGTCTGTTTTTATGCCAGAACCATGCTATCTTGGTGATCACAGCTTTGTAGTAAAGCTTGAAATCAGGTAACGTGATACCCCCAGTTTTATTTTTGTTTTTCAACATTTCCTTAGTGATTCGGGGTCTCTTCTGGTTCCATACAAATTTTTGGATTATTTGCTCCAGCTCTTTGAAGAAAAAATGGGCAGAAGATATGAACAGACACCTCCCCAATGAAGACATACAAACGGCTATCAGACACATGAAAAAATGTTCATCATCACTAGCCATCAGGGAGATTCAAATTCAAACCACATTGAGATACCACCTTACACCAGTTAGAATGGCCAAAATTAGCAAGACAGGAAACAACATGTGTTGGAGGAGATGTGGAGAAAGGGGAACCCTCTTACACTGTTGGTGGGAATGCAAGTTGGTGCAGCCTCTTTGGAGAACAGTGTGGAGATTCCTCAAGAAATTAAAAATAGAGCTTCCCTATGACCCTGCAATTGCGCTACTGGGTATTTACCCCAAAGATACAGATGTAGTGAAAAGAAGGGCCATCTGTACCCCAATGTTTATAGCAGCAATGGCCACGGTCACCAAACTGTGGAAAGAACCAAGATGCCCTTCAACGGACAAATGGATAAGGAAGATGTGGTCCATATACACTATGGAGTATTATGCCTCCATCAGAAAGGATGAATACCCAACTTTTGTAGCAACATGGACGGGACTGGAAGAGATTATGCTGAGTGAAATAAGTCAAGCAGAGAGAGTCAATTATCATATGGTTTCACTTATTTGTGGAACATAACAAATAGCATGGAGGACATGGGGAGTTAGGAGAAGGCAGTTGGGGGAAATTGGAAGGGGAGGTGAACAAGGAGAGACTATGGACTCTGAAAAACAATCTGAAGGGTTTGAAGAGGTGGGGGGGTGGGAGGTTGGGGGAACTAGGTGGTGGGTATTAGAGAGGGCACGGACTGCATGGAGCACTGGGTGTGGTACAAAAACAATACTGTTATGCTGAAAATAAATTAAAAAATGATTTAAAAAAAAAGAAAAACACATAAATAAAAAGGAAGTATCACAAAAAAAAATTAAAATAATTTGTAAATGAAAAACATTACCCTGATTCTCCTCACCAAGTCCAGCAACAAATCCACACAATGCTGTTACCGAAGGGGGGTCACACTTTCCTAGCTTTATTCATTTCCTTGTAAAAGCAGTGATTCCAAGAGTAAGTTTTAACTCTCATTTCTTACAGTCTGCAACTTCCTATACATATTCTGACAAATATTAGACAAACTATATTAGGCTTATTCCGGGGCAGGATTTTATTATACTAAGCAGGCATGAAAGTTGAGAACCTCGTAAATATTAATCACAGACTAATGAACAGTGGGAGATTTTTGAATATCAATCTGTACTAGGGGGAAATTTTGAATTAGAGGTATCACTTCCTACCCAATAAATCAGTAGTGAAAAATTGAAGGCATTCTCGTGCATCTGCTTATGTAGCTAGATTTCTAGTCCTAAAGGAGCATGCAGCATGAATGCCAAAATAGATGTGATTTTATCGCCCCACATGGAGGTTTTGCATTTTTAACTGGACCTTCTCTTAAAATTTTAATTACCTTCAAAAGAAGCTGGGTTGTATCACAGAAAACTTGAGTGCATTCTTCAGTATTAGAGTTAAAATAGTTCAAGAGTAGTTAAAGCTTGTCACACTCTTCTTCATTACCATTCACAAACCATTGCCCAAAGGGACTAGAAGACTCAACTTTAAAAGAGGAGCTGAAATGCCAAAACTTGATAGGCTTGTTGCTTTTATTAAATGTTACTATTTAATATTACTGCTTTTGTCTCTGGGAACATGTACAATGCGTAACATAAAAGAAAGACAGTATTTTCCATCATTATTCAAAATCTCATAAGTCATACCAGATACAATCATATACATATTTCTGTATCCTTAATGATTGTCCATTAATGGAAAAATATCCCTTTACAGTAATCAGAGTTAATTATTTATTAAGACAAGTATGAGAGTGGATAGTGATATCTAGGATTTTATGATATTTTTGAGGTTGACAAAAAATCATGGGGCACAGTTTTTGGTTTGAGGGTTTTGTTTTTGTTTTTCTTATTCTCTAATATTCAGGTAGTATTTGAAACCTGTGCTAGGCATTAATATTTTAATAGAAACATGTGGAAGTGATTTTTAATAGTACAAATTCTTCTTCATACCATTATAATAAAATGAAAATGTTATCCTAAATAGGTATGATGGGAGTTGTGACACAAACACAGTTATTAAGGACACAGGAAAAGAGAAAGATCGAGGAAATGAGCCAGAAATGGCGAATGTCATTCTGAAATACACCAGAAATATTATTTTCAAAATGATTACTTTATTCCATCTCCTGTAAATAGAAAAAGCAATAATCACTAAGTTAAATGATAGTATAGTAAGATGCTATAATTAAACATTGATCACTAAGTTTTCTGTTTTTATTACTAAAATTCCCAGAGTCATTGAGAGCAGGGAGAGTTATGTTGATCTGATATATTCCCAGTGCCTCATATTCAGTAGTTGTTTGATAAATATTTTTTAAAAAATTTAAAGGAGTAAGTGTACATTGTAGTTTTTCTTTTGTATGGATGTTGTAATCTCTCTAAAGACAACAAATAGTTTTTTCACAAATGTTTAAATTAGCTAAAATTGTAATATGGGGTTTCCCAACTATATGTAATATAATAACATAGAAGTGGTTACAACTTTACATCTATTTCAGTAAAATTTCTGCGGATGCACTTGTTGCCTTCCACAATTACAGCACAAAGACTGATTTTTTGAGAACATTCATCTTATCCTTTCTATAATATTAAAGATGAGTTTATTTGAGGGGCTTGCCATATGCTTATATTTGAAATTTTAAGGAGTTGTTACCCTGAGTTCATTATATTTATGTATTATGTGTAGAAATGGTTATTTTTACATAAATAAAATTTTGTGTGAGATTAGCATATTAAAAATGAATTGCACAGGTGAAAATAATTACCTTTAGAGTTTCTGTTTTACTGTGCCACAAGTCATCTTATGTTTAATTTTTTTTCATTTATGAGCACATTCATTAAAACAATAGACCCCCCCCCCCCGTTTTTTTATGGAGTCTTTGAAAATACTAGTATGTGTTTTAATTAATATTATTAAGGGAAACAAAAGTAAGTGTCCTTCAAAATTTTATTGGCCAGTATCCATTTTGGATGTAATTTTCTATACTACTCTCCATCTCATTTTATCTTATTTAACTTATTTTTCCTAAAAACCCACTGGTGTTATAGGTCATAGTTACAAAATATATTTATATTTGTCACAGGGACTTAAAATAATTTGCAGCTAGAATTCAGGACAAATGCTTTGAAAAGCACAGAAATAATTAAAGAGACTACCAAAACAAATAGGAAATATTTATTTTTAAATAACTTTAACAGAAAATATCATAAATCTTTAAGGTTCATTGTTGTTCAATATACGATAACAAATGTAATGCAGGTATATCACTAAAAATGATAATATAAGTATAGCAAGGTTGAAAAATGTAACCTGTATTTAAAACTTAAAATAAAAGAGTGTTAAAATCATAAAAGTAGTTAATCAAGGCAATCTTAAAATCTAATAAATAGAAGTTTAATAGTTCTATACCAAAAAAAAAAAACCAAAAAAAAAAAAAAACCCACCACCAACAACAAAAACAAAACAGAAAACCCTCAGATAAAAATGAGAAAGATGTGGATAATTGTCTAAGTAGTAATGAGTGTCAGACTTTTTGGATGGTCTTTGGACAAAATAAGAAGTAAATGAAGCAAGTATAATAGATATATATTCATGTCTTTTATTGTTGTTGACTTTAATAGTAGTAAACCAATCTTATTCAATATCAGAAGGATTAGAGACTCACAAAATAATGTTTACCTTTTTATGTATGGTAAAAGTAAAATCTGTTGTTCCAATTAACTTGATATATTGCTTTTAATTATTTTGTTTTCTATACCATGAGTTACAATTGTTTGGCTATAATGAAAAAAATGACCTAGAGAAAAGGTGAAATGAACACAATTTAAAGTTTAATTCTAACACGATGGTGACACAAATTGCTGCATAGCCTGACAATTAATGCCTAGACTAACTGATGACCCTTTCTACCTGCCCACAATACATATTTATAGGGGAACCACTCTGTAGTTTCTTGTCTAACTTTGGTTTTCATCTTTTCAGGTTTGGATTTATTCTTCATAAAGATGAAGCTGCACTACAAAAAATTGATCTTGAAACCATGTCATACATCAAGACAATTAACTTGATGGACTATAAGTGCATTCCTCAGTCATTGGCGTATACACATTTGGGAGGATACTACTTTATTGGCTGCAAACCTGACAGCACTGGGGCAATACCACCACAGCTTATGGTGGATGGTGTAACCGACTCAGTCATTGGATTCAATAGTGATGTGACAGGCACTCCCTATGTCTCTCCAGATGGGCACTATCTTGTCAGCATTAATGATGTGAAAGGTCTTGTAAGGGTACAGTACATTACCATCAGAGGAGAAATACAAGAGGCTTTTGATATTCACACAAATCTGCACATATCTGATCTGGCATTTCAGCCATCCTTTACTGAAGTCCACCAATACAACATCTATGGTAGTTCAAGCACACAGACTGATGTGCTCTTTGTTGAGCTCTCCTCTGGGAAGGTTAAGATGATAAAGAGTCTTAAGGAACCACTCAAGGCAGAAGAATGGCCTTGGAACCAGAAGAACAGGCAAATCCAGGACAGTGGCTTGTTTGGTCAATACCTGATGACACCTTCCAAGGACTCTCTCTTTATACTAGATGGACGACTCAATAAGTTAAACTGTGAGATCACTGAAGTTGAGAAAGGAAATACAGTCATTTGGGTTGGAGATGCCTAGGAGCCCTATTAGATAACTATTGAATAAAGAGTTTTCCAGTGCATTGCACTTAATCCATTGTTTAAATTTACAGCTTAACTTTTCAAGATGATACCCTAGTCAAGCATAAGTTACTTGGTTGGCCAAATAAAATAGATTTTTTTTTTTTTTTTGCAAAGATACACACAATTAGTACTATTGGTTGATTAGAAATACTTAAAACAACATTAAGAACTACATCAATCACAGGAATCAAATCTATAATTACATTTTAAGCTAATAAAATAGAAATATAAATACATAAAAATAACTGCAGGGAATTTCAGATGACTTTAAGCACTATTTCATTTTGGGGGTGGCTTATCTCTTATTCTTTTCTCTGTCTTTTGGTATGCTTAAACTAGAAATAAAAAGGTATTGTGGAACCTTAAAATTCTTACTTCAAAATATTCTGTCCCATCCACTGTTTATAATCTTTTGTGCCTTGAAGGGAATGTCACAAGAGGAAAAGGTAGGCTAAATGCTGCTTTCTGAACTCCCCCATAACTATAAATCTTTTGTCATTAAAAGAGAAAAGTTTAACATCTCTTGCTCTAAATCCTGTCTTTGACACTATTTTAAACCTCAGCAAAATATTTGAAGGCATAAGTTGGCCTTAGGTTGTATACAGGTAACAAACTCTATTTGATACTTAACTGTATGGTCTGCAGCATGCTATGGAAAATGAAGAGGAAGGGAGGAAAAATAATTATGGAAAAATGTTTGCAATGTATTCTCTACTCATTTTGCTTTTAATCATTGGAGTACATTGTATTTTAATGCAAGTTTGTCTGGATGTCAACTGCTTACAAATGTTTCTTAGTAGCAGAATATGTTTCTTTCTTTTCATCTAGTCCAGTGTTGAAACAGCAGGAACTTTCAGTTTTAAAAAAGAAGTATCATTTGTGTCTGCTGAAAGTAAACCACATATAGGGAAATTAACATCAGGGAGAAAATACTGGCTAGAGAACTGATAAGTATTAGTGGTTTAGGAGAATTAGTAGCAGAAATTGAGAGTAAGGGATAACTCCACAGTGGTGAGTAAAGAGATAATTTACTCTTGCATTGGCAATTTAAACATAACACATCAAGGAACTTCATTTCTTAAGAATTTTCCTAAATGAGTTCTGCTCAACTCCTGAATAATCTTTAAATGACCCTCTCATTAACTGTGCATATGGATTGAAACCTAACTAATTCTCTTATTTGAGACAATGTATAGAAATAAAAATGATTGCTTCTTCTTTTTTTTTTTTTTTTTTTTGAAGGGCAAATAAAAGGCTAGTAGAATTGGATTAAAACTAGAGAGTTGGTTTATTGAAATAAGCAGATAATTATCTTGGCTTAAAGTAATAGCTTACATGTTTGGAGAATCTTTTTACTTATTTTTTTTAAATTGTTGCTAAAAATGCTAATGGGCTGTTGAAATGACCTCCGTTTACTGAAGGTAATCCAATAAGGTCTTTTTTAAATACAAATTTTACTCAAGTTTAAATTGTATAAAACTGCTTAGAAACCTGAAATTTTATAGTGTGTGTAATATCTTATGTATATAAGCATCCTGAGCTGTGTGATACAGTAGATTTCTTCTTAGCTTAAGGAAACATTATCGGAGGTAGATTTAATAAACTACCAGCTTATGTTTCTACTTATCTGCTTTCCTTTTTAGCAATTTTCTCCCTTGTGAACATGAACCATATAAAGTGTCTAATGATTTAATGTAAGTCCATCTCATACATCCTTCTTTGGTAGCTTACACCATGTGGATGCTCTGTCTGTAGACATTGCTTGATAAAAAGAGAATAAACCTCTTAAATTTTAACCCTTGAGAGTCCAATGTTTTAATGTGCATATCTTTGTTTTGTTTTGTTTCCCAGTGCTTCCAACATAGTCTGGTGTTCTGCATTATTTTGAAAGTTGATCTGTTGGGGTAGAGGGCAAGAAAAGTGAGATCAATCAAGGAAAGGCATTTGTTTTGTCTTTTTATATAAAATATAAATTGTGTTGCAAATAATGATCTCATCAATAATGTAGGTATGTGTAAAAACTGAAGAAAAAACAGGATAGGGGCACCTGGTTGGCTCAGTTGGTTGAGGGTCTGACCGGCTCAGGTCATGATCTCAGGGTCCTGGGTTTGAGCCCTGCATAGGGCTCCATATCCACGGGGAGTCTTCTCTCTCTCTCCCTCTGCCCCTTTCTCTTCCTCTCCCCTACTTGTACTCTTTCTCTCTCTCTCTGTCTTAAATAAATAAAATCTTAAAAAAAAAAAAAAGGATAAACCAGAATAAAATTATGAGGTGACTGCAAACAAACAAACAAAAACAAAACTCTAACATCAAATAGTAGATTTGTAATAAGCAGGGGCAAAGTGAAATAATAGCAATTCAGGGCATTGGAATGAGAAAGGTGGGAAATCAAGAATGGAAATAGATGTGAGAGGTCCTTGATGGAGAACTTCGACCTTGACCAAGAAGAAATAAAAGTTTTATGTAAAGGAGGTGATATAGATAAGGCAAGAAAATAGGTTACGATCTGATTATGGAGGGAAGGAGGTGAAGAATGCAAGAAAGAAAGAAAGAAAGAAAGAAAGAAAGAAAGAAAGAAAGGATTTGGATATAATCTAGGTAATAGGGACTCAGTGATTTTTAAAAATAGAAATGGCAGTGGAAACAACACTTTTAAAGTGTATTATTTTGAAATAGAATGAAGATTTGAAGAAAAGGGAAATTGGGGGCAGATCCACTGCAACAAGGTGAGTTTATGGTTTTTAATACAATTAAATTGAAAGTATATATTATGAACCAGGGCATATTAAGGAACCAGACGTGAAATGCAACTGAATAAGTATGAGACATAATAAGAGACAAACATGAGCAGTCTCATATATGACATCATTGATAAACACAGGAAAACCATGAAAGAGAAACAGATTGGGGTCAGAGAATAAGGATTTAGGTAATATTTTAAGTGAAAATATTAGACAATGGAATATATCCCCAGAGAAGTGTCATCATGCATAACAAACCAACCATATTCTAATTATATCTATGTAAAGTTGAAACACTTTTTAAAAAATGCAATTTAGATCTTACCACCTTTCAGATCCTCACCCAAAATTTCTTCACAGGGTTTTCTTTTGAGAAATAAGTTAGTTTGCCTGGATTTTACATTCGCTAGTGAAGATTTTGTAGGATGAAACAGTATGTTTAGTCATATCTGACAATTTATCATATGTAAATTTTAAAGTGAGAAAAATTTTAAGAATACTGCTATGATCGAAATCAATACAAGATGAAAATGGACAACCCAACATTACAACCTTAAAAAGTCACCAGGATTACTTCTAATATCACTTGTTCATATATCTACCATTTATGTGTTCCTGTATGAATGGAAAAAGAGAACAAAAGCAGCACCTTATCAAAAGCCTATCTTTACTTTCTTTCCAAAAACACACTAATATCATTTACCTCTCCTGGGAAATTTCATAATGGAAATGTATTCTGAAATTCATGCTATAAAAGTTCTTGTCTATATTCTTAAGTTGTGATAACTTTCCCATCTTCTCAGAAGACTAAATCTTAACCAGACCATATGAGCATATTTTTGTTTGTTTGTTTGTTTGCACTTAATAAATTATCTAGTCCTATTAGTAATTGGAAAAACACTTAGCTTTTTAGTAATATTCATCAGCAAAATGTACATGTGTCTGTGGTATTTAATGAGTACACCATAGCTATTTTACAGTGATTTACAGCTACACTTGGTGAAATAGAAAAGTTTTAATTGTTCTTTTTTACTTGAGTTTAGTAATGATAAAATTCTCAATGTTTGGAGACTCATGTTTAGATACATAATTAAATTTTGTATGTAGTATCATTTGGCTGAAATCAAGAAAGAACATACTAAAACACAAAATATATTCTGTTTTAGTGTTTGATAAACGTTTTTCTTTTTTTTTTTTTTTTTTTTTTTTTTTTTTTTTTTTTTTTAAGATTTTATTTAGTTATTTGACAGACAGAGATCACAAGTAGGCAGAGAGGCAGGCAGAGAGAGAGAGAGAGGAAGGGAAGCAGGCTCTCCGCTGAGCAGAGAGCCCGATGTGGGGCTCGATCCCAGGACCCTGAGACCATGACCTGAGCCGAAGGCAGAGGCTTAACCCACTGAGCCACCCAGGCGCCCCTTGATAAACGTTTTTAAGACTGTCTGCAAATACACATTTAACCACTTAGAATCAAAATTGTTTCAGTGTCAAAAGAATATACTATTATTTCCATTTAAAATGTCTGTTATTAATGTGTATAAATTATTTTTACACTTCCGTTTTTCATTTCCAAAGAAAATCACAATGTTCTTTTAAACCTGGATCTAAATACTTGTTCAGTGCTATGAAGTTCAAGTGAAAAGTCTCATGATAATCAAGATAGGGACTGAACATACATGAAATTATGTAGCTATTTGAAATCATCACTGAATTACTTTAGTGTGCTTCAGCTTACCCACCTACTTTCAAATCAGTTTTGCTCCTGATTTAAGTTCTTTACTATGGTCAGAACTATTAGCAAGAGTAGCATAGCATTCAACATTTGAGCTTGTAAATAAAATATTATTCATGACTTTCTCTAGATCAATAAACATCCTTTGGATACATTAATTTTTCTTGAGGGAAATATAAATTGAGCAAAAGTAAATATACAGATATAAAGTATTATATTAACATACAGCATATTAGTTTTGCATAATTAAAAAAATTGTTGACAAAAATATATGATTTCATTTTGTTTATTTTGGTGCAACTGTGCCATGTGCCATGCAGTTTTACAAGTTGCAGCAATTAGACACCTCACTGGATGTGTGTGTGTGTGTGTGTGTGTGTGTGTGTGTGTGTGTGTGTATGTGTGTGTGTTCATTGGGCCTATGCAAAACTGGAAGCATATCTGGAAATATTAGAGAATTAAATTTTAATATCCAGACATATCCCATTAGTATTTTAGAATGTCTGTTAGATCTAGAATGACATGATTGATTGTCAAAGTATTTAAAAGTATAAACTACATAGAAGTAAGGAATATCAAAGAAACAAAATAATAATGAGACTTGATTCTGGAGACTCTGTTAGATCAAGTAAATTAAGAATATATATGTATAAAATCTGAATAATGTAATATTAATAGTTAACAAATGAATCTGTGTGTATACACACACACATACA